GGCAGAGCATCTGGTGGATTCGAACCGTGTGCCTCTGGGATTGTAGTTGCAGCTCCTTGCCACTAGGCCACCAGAGCTCCCCTATTTCTTGCTCTTTCTTAAATGCTATTCTTACCTTCAGTATGAACAAAAAGTTCTTTTACTTGCTTGTTAAGGAAAGACAGTGTAAGATTAAGCAATTGTTCTGAAAAGTGTTTGCTTTGGGTCTCAGAATCACTTTCTCTAATTGCTGAACAAAGCAAATCCAATGCTGGAGTCAGTTCTTCCACATCTGAGAAAAAACAAAAATAATACACAAATAACATGGTGAATATCAGATTAATTCCATGAAAGTAATATATAAAAAATACATTTACTGTAAATTTATCTTTATGTTGCAATATTCTAAATAGAAAATAAGAACCAGTGACATATCTTTTAAAAACTCACAAAGCTTTTATGACACCTTATATCTGAAAATTTACTAGTGGTTCTTAGTACTAATTGTTGTTGTTGTTATGTGCCATCGAGTCGCTTGCAACTCATAGCGACCCTATGTACAAGAGCCCTAAACGCCCTTCTATTCTGTGCCAACCTAGCCGTTTCAAACACACTCATTCCCACCACTCCAATCACAGAATCGATCCATCTCATTGAGGGTCTTCCTCTTCTGCGCCGTCCCTCCACTCTCCCAAACATGATGTCCCTCTCCAAGGACCAGTCTCTTCTTGCAACATGCCCAAAATATGTCAGATGAAGCTTCAGAATCCTTGACTCCAAGGAGCATTCCAGCTTCACCTTCTCCAGGACAAACTTGTTTGTTCTCCTAGCAGTCCATGGTATATTTAATACCCTTCTCCAGCACCACAGCTCAAAGGCATCAGTTCTCTTTCTATCATCCCTATTCACTGTCCACCTTTTCAATACATAGCACGTAACTGCGAAGACTATCGCCTGGATCAGGTGCACCTTAAGTCTCCAGCCTGATGTTGTTGCTGTTTAGTACTCTCAAGAGGTCCCTCACAGCTGACTTTGCCAATGCAATTCGTCTCCTGATTTCCTGGCTGCTGTCACCAAGAGTGTTGACTGTGGAACCACGTAAACAAAAACTGTTAACTATCTCAACTCTTCACCGTTCATACTGATGCTGCTAATTGGCCCAGTGGTGAGAATCTTTGTTTTCTTGATGTTGAGCTTCAATCCATATAGGAGGCTGCAGTCCTTGACCTTCTGCAGCAAGCACTTCAGGTTCTCCTCAGTTTCAGCAAGAAGGGTTGTGTCATCTGCATAACACAGGTTGTCGATAACTCTCCCACCAACCCTGATGCCACATTCCTCCTCGTACAGCCCAGCGTCTCGGATGATCTGTTCTGTGTACAGAGTGATAAGGTATGGAGACAAAATACATTCCTGATGGACCCCTTTCTTAATTTTGAACCATGCAGTGTCTCCTTGCTCTGTTCTGATGACTGCCTCTTGGTCCAAGTATAGGTTTTGCATTAGCACATGTTCTGGGATTCCCACTCTTCTCAGAGTCAGCCATAGCTTGTTGTGATCCACCCAGTCAAAAGCCTTTGTTCAGTCAATGAGGCACGGACAGACATTCTTCTGGTATTCTCTGCTTTCTGCCAAGATCCATCTAACATTAGCTATAATATCCCTAGTACCACGATCTCTTCTAAATCCAGCCTGCACAT